TTGGTGAACTGGTTGTTAAAGTTGCACCTGTAATCAGGGTTCTCTCTAAGATGGGCGGCTAGGCAGCCACCAGTGTGGAAATCACACATTTACATTCCTAACTCTTTTTGAAGGTTCATCTACACAACAGCATATTCTAAGCACCTATTATAATGTTCATTTCATCCATAGGTATAAAATATTAGTAAGAACTATGCTTGTGATATTGTTATTCATTTTATAAAACTCATTTTACTTTTGATGAAATACTCTATTTTTATCCCTTGCATTATTTCAGCAAACTAACATATAACGTAAAGAGAAAAAGTTCCAAACAACCAGAGGGTGAAACATTGTCATTCATTTCAGCTTTGTTACGCCCCAAATTCCCATGAGATATTATGAGTGAGTTATGCAATTCCTGAAAGTGTCCAAAGAACTAAAAATATTGCCAGAGCAATTGCTTTAAATTCAGCTGAAGTGAGAGGGGTTTTTCCCAAAAGAACACAATGTGTTCAGGGAAGAGAAGTTGTCTAACTGATTCTACTATATGACACAGTGGCTGCTGTCTAATTGGCCCAACTCTGAAGGACTGGGGTTCTACTCCTACAGTGGAAAGATGGTTAAGGACAAATCACACAGCTGATGACGTTCAGATAAAAGCGAAGAATATTGGAAGTGAGAATGCCAGTAAAGAAACAATATGGAAATATCTTAAATATGTTTTATCAGGTATTATTGAATTTTTTCATCAATACTTTAAAACTTTCTTATAACAATCTACTTTTGTGAACCTCTTTTATTCTTATTTAAATATTAACCGATATAGGAAACTACCTTTCGATCTATCTTTTCTTGTATTTAAAATGGTCTTTAAGGCAGTGTACTGATTGTTAAATTATTTGAATCCCACCACAGCCTGGAGCCAGTCTGAGAGACAACAGTTTATTGGCACAGTGGGGTTGTGGTCTACATAATCTGGTGTCAATTTGAGAATTCAGAGCAAAGGGGTGGAGTCTAGCCTGTTGCAGCTTGATGACCTCATTTGGAAGTGCTAGGGTGAAAAATAGCTCGCTGGTAGCGGGACACACGCTGACTCTCTGAGACTCTATGTTGGAAGCCACATGGAGACAGGCTGATGGCAGCCAGAGCCTCAGAGCTGGAGAAGCCACGTGGAGACTCCTGCCAGCGCTGAGATGCTTATACCGCCACTGGATCCATAAGACTTTCCACCAACTGGCCTATGATCGTCCTGCATCATTGCATGTGTCTTGTGAGTCTGAAGAGGACTTTATAGATTGGTATTGGACATATGGGCTAATATCAAACTTATGGACATGATCTGGACTGGGCTGGGATGTTTTCTCAATATTCAATTGATCTTGTATATAAAAGCACACATGAATGTCTGAATTTGTTTTTCTAGTCTACCCAGACTCACACAGTAGTTAACAGATGGGAGTAGTTCTGCTTCCAGCAGCAGGTGGCTGCACCAGAAAGGAGCTGCTAAAGGTGCCGTGGGAACTTTATTTATATTGGTTAAACAACTTCGAGTAAAGTGGGCTCCTGAAACTATTCACATCCTGAGTTCAGGGACTATATCTTTCTAGTCAGGGGAAAGGACAAAGCATGTGGTTCCCCTGGCTGTGCCTGCCCTGGCTACCTGCAGGGAGGGAGGTGATCTCCAGGGGAGCCCAAGGACACTTGGAGAAGGTCGGCTTAGCGGAAACTCATCCATTTTGAGCATTCAGTAGTGTCCCACGAGAAGTGTTGAAGCGTTCTATCATATTTTAGAGATCAGTCCTTAGGCATGTCACTGTCCAAAAAAAATCATAGTCTGTGTGTGCTCCTTTTATTCTTTTTGGAGAAGTCTTTTCATGGGCATTAGAGAGGGCTTCAAAAAGTTCATGGACATTTTCAATGATCTTTTCATTCCATTTCCCCACCAACTTCTTGAAGGTCCCTCATACATGTTTAATTTTTAGGAGGTCCCAGTCATCTGTTTGTGATTTTTAGATTTGGTTTGATAGACTCTGCCATAAGGCGTCTAAGTTTGCTCCTATTCCTGAATGATCTTCATAGTTTTAGGTCTGACATTTAGATTTTTGTCACATTGAGTTCATTCTTGTGTATGGTGTGAGGTATGGATTCTGTTCCATCTTTCTGCCATATTCAGTCTTGCCAGCACCATTTGTTAAACAGACTAGCTCTTCTCTACTTAGTGGATTTTGGCCTTGAGAGAAGCAATATTTTATGCCACTTGGTGTATACTGTGTGTGTTATCAGTGAATAATATGGCATTGTTTTCTATCTGGTCACGAACTGCACTTGTGGTTGTGAGCTTACAGATTGCCATGTCAGAATGGAGACAGGAAATCATCAAGATTTCCCCACACTCTTGGCAGTGATGCTAGACTGCGTTTTTAGCACAGGTATTTTGGTGTTCATTCCAGGGAGGAAGTTAAATTTAGCACATTTTCCTGCTAGTCACAGCACAGGGCAACACCCCCAAGACCTGAGTTGAGCCTCAGTCTTTTATATCTTCTGTGGAATCTCCCCTTGTAAATTGCGAGGCTTTTGAGGGGCTTAACTTTATGGCTTCAACTGTCTCCATAAATTCTTGGAAGCCTCCAGGAGTGGTTTTGAATACTGGTATGTTCACTGTGATTTCTTTGTCTTAGCTCTGGGAATGTTAGGAATGCCTGCCCCATGAGCTGGGCTGCGTGTGTGTGTGTGTGTGTGTGTGTGTGTGTGTGTGTGTGTGTGTGTTTGCTGGCATGCGTGCATGCATGTGGGCCTAGTAGTCTAAACACAGCATTATGAGCGACCTCCTTCAGCTGCTCCCAGGGAATACGTTAGCATTGTGTGGAGTGTGGGAAAAACCAGATGAACATATGCAGCTCCCAAAGCAAGATGACTATGGAGCAAAGGGAGAAGAACTTTCTGGGGACACAGACCTGCTTCTCCCCCCGTGGCCTTCCTGGCTGAAGTGCCAGAGACCCAGGGTCCTTGAGACCAGGGCTTGCAGACGGAGCCTCAGAAGCACGCAAGGGCTGTGTTTTAAAAAATGCAGATTTCATGGTCTGATGCCACACAGATCTAATGAATCAAACTCTGAAGGACATGGCTCAGGAATTTATATTTTAAACAACACAACAACAAAAAGGCCTAATGCCTCAGGCTGTTCTGTTAAGCAAGCAGGCTTGATAGTTACTGTTTGACTTGGCCCATGTTCTAAGAGGGTGGTATCAATCAACACAGACATCAAGATTCCACCGTGGGCTTTCCATCGGTTGTTCCTATGAAAGGAAATCTATGGTGCTTGGATTTACACCAAGCTTGTTCAGGCTTGCTCTGCACAGTTTCGACTGGCATGAAGACCTTTTGATTTTTACCTCCTAAACACATCTTGTATCTTTCCTCTTTCTGTCTGTTAGCCACTACTCAAATCCAAAGTTACCAGCTTGGCAATAGGATCCAGGATCTCACCGGAGACTCGCCTTCCTCCTGACTGTACTCAGAGCAGCCAGGGTGGTCTTTTCAAATCTCAAGTTTGATTCTGTCACACTCCCATGCACCCTCCTATCAGTGATGCCCCCCCACCCCACCACCACCAGCACACACACACATTCTTTACAGGACCAGACTCTGCATGAGCTGGTCCCTACTGACCTCCTCAGTCTCATTTCACAGCTGCTCTGGCTGCCAACAGGCCCTGGCACTTGCTGTTCCCTCCGCACAGACAACCCCCACCCCCGCCTCCGCCCGCCTTCACCACTCCATCCTCGGGGCTTAGCTTAGCCATCACTTGTGTAATAGAGGCCTCTCCTCATCATTCACCAACAGGACTGTCCCACTGCGACGTTACATGGATTCACATGTGCTGTGCGGACTTGGGAGTCTGGGCTGTATCTGTCGGCATGTGTTCAAGCTGGTACTGGTACCTTGACCCAGGGATCACGTGGGGTGTTGCAAATGCAGTACTCTGGTCGGAGCAACATGAAGCCCCCCCATGGCCGCAGTTTTCACTCATTTCTTTATTAATGTAGAAAAGGAGTTCAAGGCCGCGGGGCCAGTAGTACAAAGCACCAGGAGTTACTACTATACTGGTGAGAGGGTTGGC